GGTCAGGGCTTTTTCTGTTAGGGCGGGTCCACAGTTGAGCTCCCCATCCCACAGGAACCACTGACCCTGGGGCCACATCTTTGAAAATTTTGGAAATTTTTAAAAATTATATTTCATCATGCTGTTGATTAATACCAAAATGCAGTCGTCAAAGCATTAAATTATTTCAGACTATGTTACCCCCCCCCCCAAAGTACCTCTGTCCCAGGGGACAGGAATTTAACCATTTTTGGAAGAAGCAGGGTTTTTTTTCATAAAAATATACTAAGATCATTGGCAGTATACCCAATAACAAAGGAAAAGATTTTCAAAGAATTCAAGAATTCAAGCATTTTCACTATATGAAAATTTAGAGCCCCCCCCCCCCCCCCCCCCCCAACACAAGAATCTCTAACCCAGGGACCCTGAAATTCAAAAATCTCAAAGAGGCATCCTTCCTCCTCATAAATATGTACATAGTTCATTGGTTAAATACTCAGTGCAGAAAAGAAGAGTTTTAAAGAATTTATGCATTTTCACTATATATTCTATAAAGCCCCGCCCTAACACCAGAACCCCAAACCCAGGGGCCATGAAACTCACAATTTTGGAAGAGGTAGCCTTATTCAACATAACCATGTACTTGGTTAGTTTATTTAGTACTCAGGAGCAAAGAAGAAGATTTTCAAAGAAATAATTCATATTTTACTATATAATCTATATAGCCCCGCCCTAGCACTATAACCCCTGACCCTGGGGCCATGAAATTCACAAATTTGGAAGAGGTAGCCTTATTCAACATAGCCATGTACTTGGTCAGTTTATTTAATGCCCACAAACAGAAAAGAAGAATTTCAAAGAATTTATGCATTTTCACTATATAATCTATATATAGCCCCACCCTACCACTAAAACCCCTGACCCTGGGACCATTAAATTCACAATTTGAGAAAAGGTAGTCTTATTCAACATAACTATGCACTTGGTTAGTTTATTTTAAATGCCCACAAACAGAAAAGAAGAATTTCAAAAAAAAATTATGCATTTTCACTATATAATCTATATAGCCCCGCCCTACCACTAGAACCCCTGACCCTGGGGCCATGGGCCATGAAATTCACAATTTTGGAAAAGGCGTTCATTGCTCAACTTACCTATGCACTTGGTTAGTTTATTTATGCCCACAAACAGAAAAGAAGAATTTCAAAGGAATAATGCATTTTCACTATATAACCTGTTTAGCCCTAGCACTAGAGCCGCTCACCCTGGGGCCATGAATTTCACAATTTTGGTAGAAGACTCAATGTTGATTACAATCATAGCAACAGTTTAACTGCTTGATGTCCAGGAGTAAAGAAGAAGATTTTAAAAGATTGCACTAATTTTAGTGGTTTTTGCCCCCACCCCCCAGGCCCCAGGGGGGCAGGGACCATGAAATTCACAAATGTTATTCCCCTTAACCCATAGATGCTATATGCCAAATTTGGCTGAAATTGGTTCAGTGGTTTCAGAGTAGAAGCTAAAAATGTTCAAATGTTAACGCACGACGAACGACAGTGTCTGTAGTTAATTCTGACTGTGCGTAACGCTAGCTTTCGTTTCCATGCAATATCTCGAGAAGTCTTTGAGCTTTTCCGATGAAATTTTACACAATAACTACCTATGACCTAATAAAGATCCCTACTGATTTTTAGGTAAAAGGTCAAAGTCATCAAAATTTTATCTGTTTAAACAGTTAATTTTCCGCAATGTATACTAGTATATCAGTTCACCTTTGAGTTTTTGCAATGATATTTTAAACCACAACACTCTATGGCTTAAAGAAGACGCCTTTATAATTTGAGGTTAAAAGGTCAAAGCGCATGCATAATAACAACATATAAATGTTTCAAAAGATTATCGACGCAAATTGTTTTAAAGTAAAAATATATTGTACATTTATTGACTTGGTTAAAAGGTAAAATGTATTTTGTTGGAGCCCTGTGGGGATCCGGGTTAGAATAGGTCCTCAGTACCCCCTTGCTTGTCGTAAAAGGCGACTAAATGGGGCGGTCCTTCGGATGAGACCGTATAAACCGAGGCCCCGTGTCACAGCAGGTGCGGCACGATAAAGATCCCTCCCTGTTCAAAGGCCCTGAGTGCCGAGCATAGGCCTAAATTTGCAGCCCTTCACCGGCAATGGTGACGTCTCCATATCAGTGAAATATTCTGGAGAGGGACGTTAAACAGTATACAATCAATCAATCAATTATTTTGTTGGACTCAAGCATCATACTGCCTGAATATGAAAGCCTAAAAGGATCAATCTACGGAGTAAAAAATTAAAAGGCGTAATAACGCGTTCTAAAAGACGTAATGACACGAAAAAAGGCTAGTAATGCATTTTGAAAAGGCGTAATTATGCCTTTCTAAAAAGCCTTATACGCCTTTCAAAAAAGAATCTACAATATGCCTTTTCAAAAGGCATTTTTACGCATTTCAAAAAAGGTGTTACTTAGTATTTGATATTTTATTTTATTTTCAATACATGACTAACATAGCCCACCCCGGGGACTGAAAAATTACCCTCAGGACATGAATTTCACAATTAAATATACTCAGTATCAATTAATATTTTAAACATGCAGATCGTGATTAGAGTTCCAGGAAAGATTTTTACATGCAAACAGATGTCTGCGAGATGTGTAGGAACATAGAAAACACTTTTAAATATTGTATAAATAAAGATAGCTTTGATTTAATCTTTTAAATAACTATTAACATAGAATAAGTAACGCCTTACCATTTTTGGTTACAATGTTTTTTTTTTTAACTGGCCGGTTATGAGTGCCCCCTCCCTCAACCTCACATTTGCAAGGAGAGAATAATCTTGTTATATAAAATTCATTTATTGGCAGCTTGGTCCCAGAAAACGTTATCTATAGATTGATCCTAATAAGCTTTCGAACCCTTAGGTCGTTAGGCCGAAAGCAAAAAACTTTGTTATGGAGAAACACTGGAAGCTCATTCTAATGACAAAAAAAAAAGCTTATGTCTCGAGGGTGTGTCATTACCTTAAAATTCTAAGAAATGCATAGCATTATTTCGCAATGTTGACCTGTATGTGACTGCATGGTCATACCGACATGTTCAAGGTCATTGGCAAATGGTTTTGCCCGGGATGGATCTAATATTCATATCTGATATACACTCAAGGTCCATTCTGTTAAATTCAAAGTGACTGACGAAAAAGTAAAAAAAATTCTTGTCAGGGGTATAACTTTGAAATGGAGAGTTTTTAGAGCTCATATTTGGTTACAGATATCATTAATGACCTAGGGGTATATCGTGACCTTCAACAAGGTCATTCCTGCATGGTCACTAGTATATAAATTGTAACGTTTATAAAAGGTTTTTAAATTTTTTAATGAAAAACATTCCATTTCTATATTTCACTGAAAGATTACTTAATACCAGATAATAAGTCATTTTTCCAAACCAAGGTCTTTTAGGCAAGTTCAAGGTCCAACTTAAAAATTTTGAATGGGAAAATTAAAATTGTAGCAGGGAGTATTATTATTTTGTGAGCTCACAGTACTTCTTTTTCAGAGCTAAGAAACACATCAGAAATTTTAGACTTCTTTAAACATAGATTTATATAATACGTAATTTTAAAGTTATAATGAAAACATATATCACACTTGCTGCTATATGTAATTTTAAATGTTAGAAATGTCTAGTACAATTTAAGGGTCACCTGGTAGGTACATGCAATAGGTTTGTAATTTTTATACCAATGTTTAGAATATTGCCTGGCACATTTACTACACTCCAGTTTTCGGCTATACTTGTAAGATCTATTAACATTGAAAAAACCAAATTTTGGTTTTACATCACAAACTATCAAAAATAGAAAATGAATTATTGAGAAAATCCTTTTTGCTAAATAAATTCTGGCAATCATAGGCATTTATGCCTGCTGTGCATTAATTTGAATAAATATTTTAAACCAATCACTTTCCGTTCAATTTTGCTGGTTTATTTACAATAACAATACAGTCATATTAAATAAATGATAAACACATAATACATGTACTATTGCAGCAACAATATCAATACATGCATAGATAACCAAAATCAGGGGCATATACATCCTCCCTATGCCAGAGGTACTGAAAACACATTGCAACATGTTGACTCCAGACCCCTGGCATAGCGAGAATGGGACATAAATTAAATGTTTATAATATCTCTGATGAAAAAACAATTACAAGAACAAATAAAAAAAAACATGAATTTAGTTTTATAACAAAACGAGGTACCCTAGTCCCTCCCATTCAAATAAGATCCTCCATTAAATCATATCTACAATCACTAATAACAAAAAATGCAGATATAAGCATGGAAGAATCTCTGTATTTTTGTCAGAAACAAAATCCACAACAAATATACTGTATATATAATTCAAAATCATTTGAATTTAATTTCATTTGAAAAGTTGTACACTAAAAATTTTCATTTATAGGTTTCTGCAATTTTACACCTGATTTGTAAGTTAACTGTTCAATAGTATATTCACACAGTTTCATGGTAACTGAGGTACTACTCTTTTGCAGGATAAAATGATACAGTTTGCTGAAATATGATGTAAAAGTATTTGTTTAACATGTACATCATTTAATTATTTATCAATAAAAACATTGCAAAAATATAAAACTTGCCATGAAAATGAGAAATACCACATTTATCATGAAAGGGCCAAATTAGAGATCTAAAAATAGATGTAAATATCCTTGAAGCCATAAATACATAATAAAATCTAGAATTGTACAAAATATTTTCAGCAGAAAAACCAGATATGTGTGAATGAAGAGGCCATATGGCTTAGTGTGTAGAAAATATAGGTCACATAACAATGTTTAGCACCAATTAACGGGGTATAAATATGCCAAATAATGACCTTGGTCATCTTTAGAACAAGCACTTTGCTATAAACAGCCTAACACAAAGGCTCTTTGTGCCATATCCAAAGTAAACTGTTTTGCTGTCACCTACTACATGTGTAGTACTATATTAAAGAAGCAAAATCGTTTGTCCCTGGTACTTCCTTGTCATTGTGTATTCCTGTGTATATATTTGAAACTTTTAAAACAAATCAAGTTTTCAGTAACTGTATGGTTTGTTTATCAGCAGATTGTATACTCAGTATTTTTTTTTTTATATCTATACAAATTCAAATCTTTCTCTCTTGAGGAGAGAGGGCACTAAAACCTCAAGTCTCTCAGATTTACTCTGATAAATACATGTAATAGTCAAGATGTGAAAATGAATGTTAAATGTTATTTTTATTAATGAACAAAAAATACAATAAAAAAATCATAAGCTACTAGTATCCTTTTCAGTTGACCTTTTCCAGCAAGAGGCCAGTGACTACATGTACAAACTGAATGATCTTTCCTTCACTTTTCCAATTTGCTTTTCATAACACTGATGTAAACAGCAAAAGAGTATAACATAAATTGTACACCGAGTATTTCATAAAAATAATTTAATAAATCACAGGGGGAAAAAATCAATTAAATAAGTCAGATATGTTTCACAATATTAAACCTTTCATGTTTAACGATTTGTCATGCATAAATTTACAATTAATTCAGCCTTAGGCATGAAATACAGTCGAACCTCTTTATCTCAAACTCAACTGAACTGAAGGTAAACTTTCAGATATACCTGAAGATTCAAAACATTAGAGGTAAAATAATTTTAATAACAAGCAAATGGAACTTCTTTACCTATATGATGTAACTTTTTTTTCAGGGATTTCAATGGAACATTTATTCTTGCACAATTTATTAATCATGTTGTGCACCCAGTTGCCACTTTTCTGAAAATCTTGTATTTTCTCTGGGTAACTAGATATCACATTGGCTGTTTTTCATCCCCTTGAAAAGAATTCACTAGTAGAAGTTGTCAATCTAGAATTTGGATCCAAAACGCTTAGAAACAAAAGATATTTTGTGGATTACTACTACATCTAACTAACCACTGCTAACTAAACTAAAAATGATTTACTTATTTCAAATTCAAACTCATCTAGCTCTTTAGTACATCTCATTTTCTTTGATCTAAAAATCGAGACTAAATATCTAAAAGCTCAGCGAGTTTCGGAAGCTGCAAACAGCTGGTCTTTAGAAATTCTGACCTTGTCAATTAGAAATGGTATAACCTGTCACATTAAAACTCCAGCCATAACATAACGACTAAACAAGGGCTTCCAAAAGACCAGTAACATGTGGTACCTCTATGAATTAAGAAGGTACCTTGTGGAAGCTATCATAATTCTATGGTTTTTTTTTTTTTTTATTTTGGACAGAGCAAGAATATTTTCAGTGAAATAAAAGTACTAATTACTAGCAGATACTGATAGGTTTGAATTTTCTCTCAAACCAGTCAATACTAAAATTTTTGGCAAAGTCTAACTACATGCTTATCATTTGCATGTGTGTGTAACTCAAAACTTTCAAGCGTCACCATAGCAACACTCTTACTCCTTTGTCTTAAAGACTGATACATGTACATGTACTAACTAGCCAGATCAAGCAATTAAAGGATCCCATGCCCAAAATATTGCACTTGACTGAGTTTTGTCAATTAACTGATCATCTCCAATTGTCTTATTTCTATATCTTTTAAATAACAAAACAAAATACCACAAAAATACTGAGCAAATGCATCACAGATATAGTTTACACACAACACCGATGTTTTAATAAATATAGATATATCTTCAAGGGCAGATAACTGCTGGTTACTATCAAGACTGGGAACTAGATTACTGCACCAGTTGAATGTGCTCCTCTTCTGGTGATGGCTGGCGTTTGTATTCTGGGCGGGTCACAACGTAGACCACAAGCGCAATGAGAGACACGATGGTCAGACCGAGGAAATTGATGATGTAGGTTTCCGTGGGAAAAGCAGAATATTTACTATGGAAAGAAAAGACGGCCATTAATAAATAAAGAAATACTAGACTTTGTTATATACTGTAACTACTACTCGAATTAAACATAAGGCATCAAGAGCTGCCTGGTGTACTTACAAGTGAGCGTAGAAGTCTGTAAAGAGAGCTTTCTCGGTGATACCGGTCACTGCGCTAGCCCCGGCCAGACAGAGAATGGCCAGCCCCCAGAACACGTGGTGGGGCATGTAAGTCTGGCGGCCCCCCACACTTAACAGGGGGAACACAAAGGAAATCAGGCCACACACCCACTGAAAAATACAAATTAAGTAGATGAACACATTAATACAAAGATGTAAAAGAAACTGTACATGTATCTTGGATTAAAAAACATATCAAATTGATTCATTTTATTAAGTGAGTGGTATAATTATGCAATAATAAATTCCTTGCAGACAATTAGAAGTCTTCATTACCTGGAGTCCAAACAAGACAACTGTGATAATTCCTAGCCAACTGTGGAGACTGTAGAGGTTGGGGATGGGGGGTTTTGGCAGATTGTGAGAATCAAACACGGCCTTCAGCCCCACTCCCGTGAAGATCAGCACCAAGGCCTGGACTATCCCATGTACTGCCTTCAGGTAAGTCTTCTTCACATTCCGAAACACGCGGTAAGTCAAAATGGCTGGAAATATAAGGCAGAATTAAGTACACATTGTGATGTAAAATCGGTATTAGTATAATTTTGTATAAGAGCAAATCTTTATAATTCTATATTTGTGTTATTCTGTATTTATATGTATATCAAAAACACCATCTCCAGTTTTCTATTATCAATCTTCTTTAGTACAAAAAATTAAAATTTATATATTTTAAATCATATGATATCCAAAATGAAATGCATTCATTAAACTTATTATTACAACTCATTTTTTTTTGTAAAACTAATCTATCATTTTGTCTCCATATAAATTTTGAATGAGCTATTGAGGAACTTTAAATATGGTACTGTAATCTGTTTTCTTTACCATCAGAATACAGGAATATCATGCCGGTCACCATGAACACGGGGTGATAATTAAATTCGTGTTTGGGGTCCGACTGCCAGGCAAAGCCCCCTCGGAAGGACCCCATCCACACGGCTACCAGAATAACCGCCGTCAATCCAAGCACCTGTATGACCAGGATCAGCACGGTGAAGAATGCCAGACTCCCTGACTGATTTTGTCTTTCAGAATTCTCCATACTGGGCCGATTCTGTAAAGATAAGATTAAGAAATAAAATCCCTGCACGAAATAAAACAATCCCACAGCATTCCTCATAGGGAAGATAATACTGACATGCATTGTTCCGTCATTGTTGACCTGAGTCGTTTCTGTTTCCCTGATTAATGTTTTACAGATCCTGGTAATACAGACCTGTAATTCAACTTCCAGGATATCAAATGACAATCATACTGGTCTTAAAGAGAAATGGGAGAAATGAGTTAAGCAAATTGAGAGACTGTTTAACAAGTGCATAGAGTTTCATAAGCATGCGAAGACAGATAACTCTTTCTAAAACAAGTTTAGATATTAAAAGTGTAGCTTTGCTACTATGTATCTGAGGCCTGCAATTTCAACAGAGCAAGCACTCCCAAAAATTTCTGTTGGAGGTTAAAGGAATTTTGGCAAGGGCTTGTTGAACTGTTGAACTCTGATTCAACAAACTGATTCAAAGAATTGTGGTCCCCTGCTTTTTGTGTCTTAGTGGATCAGCTCAATATCAGCAAACCTTTAGAAAAACAGTGCCAAAACCCAAGTGGGACACACTGATAGACAGCTAGACAGACGGGCGGACAGTTAGACAGATGGACAGACTCAGAGGAAATTTATATAGTCCCCTCCAGTTTCACTGGTAGGGGACTAATAACTTTCAGTCTAAATTCTATTTAAAAATTTATATTTGCATGCTAGATTGTTATTTTAAATCCAGCTTGAGATAATTGGATGATATGAACTAGGTACAAAGAATTCATTCTATGTAAACTTATTATTTGAGAGTGTAAAGTTGCTACAGTTTTGAAAGTAATATGGATAAAGTAGAAGTATTTAAATTGAATCCATGAGGACATGAAATATCCAATATACATCTAACTAGCTTTGCTGTTTCCCTCTTTACATACAGTGTCCATAATCTAACAAAGCTTAAAACAACTGACACACCGGTAACCATTACATGTAGATACTATATATACACTTACATGCTTGTCTGTTTAATACATAATCCTGGATATCGTAAACATTTATAACATTTACACACAGTAGTGTCCATCTGATGACATAAGGAAAGGTACTTAACATAAATATATATCATATGTAGACAATGAGACAAGAGGCCCACTTGACTCTACATGTCCATCATGGTTAACATGTGCTTAGTGAGTTTTTTTGTCTCTAAAATAAGAGCTAAGGTCTATTCCATAGACAGGTGATCAATTTATCATGTTTAATTTAAAGATATGCTGCACTTTTTTGGGGCTACAAATAATTTTTAGCAACATATAACAACAATTGTTTTGTGGATCCCTGTGACCTTGGTACAATCAAGATTTCATATACTTGAATGATTAGAGCATCTTAATTTGACAAACAAAAGGCTCTGATATACTATTGTATATAGACATAAAATTTTCAATTTAAAACTTCCAGCTGAATGAGTATAGGCCCCTGAATCAAAACAGGTTCAGTAAGTCCTGCCATATATCCTATATATACTGTAGAAGTACATGTACTTTTTTTCCACGTGGTATTAATTTACGCTATGTACGTATAGTGACAGCCAAGGAAATCCGCGTATTTTCTACTGACTCGCGGATTAAACAGAAATTGAGATTCCATGGAATTATGACCCCTCGGAAAAAAGTACATCTACAGTATACATGTATATATTTTGGTCACTTTGCCTCATGTACTGTAATACTGTATGGAAAACTCATACATGTGATTCTTCCGGCGGGAGGCAAAATCTCCCAATTTTTAACCCCCCTTCTGCCCCTCCCGATTAATTTTTAAATCTTCCGTGTTTAAAATAATTCTTCAAATTAAATATATTTTGCATTAATTTTTATCATGTTTCTTATAATTGCTTAGAATGACAAAACATTGAGATAACAAAGGCAGTGCAATAATTTTTCACAGTAGTAGGCTTCTTAGTACATTTGTAATCAGCATGAGGTCGTATGATTCAGTTGTAAAAATTAGTGATATATCAACTTGATAAATGACCATCGATGTTTTGTAGCTGAAATGCTGATTGCAGAACATTGTAATTGGTTGCTAAAATACCCAATTGCCATCTTCTAATGCTGCGGTGGTCATTAAAAGATACAGTTATACTAAGGGTAACACTTTAGTTAAGGTTCATAAACCCTCTGCTCACTCACTCATAAAAAAATATTGCTTGAACCTTAATGATTTTCCCAAAGAAATGTATTTTATAAGTAAAATACAAACAATAATAGCATAGCTTGCGGGGCAAAATTGGACAAAAAAAGACCTTTCAACTTGTCAAATTTATAAAGGAATAATACCCATTTATGTCATTAAGAGTTATCTCTCTTATTAGAGTATTGATGTACCTTAAAAATAGATCAAACTACAGGGTGTTGCTAAAAAATATACCTGACTCTACTTTGTTGTATTTTTAGAGAAGTTAATTTTATCTCTTCATATTCTATTTAAAATAAAAAAAATTACTGACATAAAATATGTTACACAAGACCTATGTTTTACTTCACTTACTGCTAAAAAATATACCTCACTCTACTTTGTTGTATTTTTAGAGAAGTTAATTTTATCTCTTCATATTCTATTCAAAAACAAATAACTGACATAAAAAATGTTACATATATGACCTAGTATGTTTTACTTCACTTACTGGTTGATGTATCAATACCAAATCAAAAATAAAATTTTATTCAGAGTTTTAATGATGATGTTAACTCTTAATTAATTTCAATGAATTGATTTTATTTTTGACTCTATTTCACTTCTGATCATTTGAATAAAAATTCGAACATATTATTTCAAAGCTAAAGCTAGACTTTATGAAACAAAAATTATGAAGTAATATAGAGGGAGATGGCATTTTCTAGGGGGTTGGATGGTCTTTTGCGATTTGAAAATATGTCAATAAAAAATCTCCAGCTTTGAGACCCAAACTCCAGCTGAAAAATTTCAAATCTCCAGTTGTGATTGTTCAGTTCTGTCACATGTATGAAAACTATAAATCTGAGGGCTCAGGGCTGCTTTGAGATATTAGTGATACAGGGTCTATGTTGATGAAAGAACTTAATTCTGTTCTATTCCTACACCTACAGGAGACTGGTTCTTTCTGTTTATATATGTACAGCAACATCAGTTGTAGTGAGGACAAAGAAAACATGAGCATGCATGATCATAGCCTCCATGTAAACAAGTTAAAATTATAAAACTTTTTCATTTAATTCAAATCAAGCTTTCACATATCTTAAATTTACACCTGTAACCATATTTGTGCCAATTGGGTAGTCATGCATGGTTCATTTAATACAGCATTAAATCTACAAGCCTAGGGTTAGATTTAATAAACAATAATATCTTACCGAAGACCTGGATGTCTTACAGCTACAAGTCTGACTGAAAGTATTGGATTATCAATACCAATCTAATTAAAATCAGACATCTTAGATCCGTGCCCTATACACCCTGCGTTAGAGTGTGTATACAGCATTGATCTGAAAAGTCTGATTTTTTAAATTACAGACTGGTATCAATACATTTTTGTACTTGCCAGTTTGGATTATAAACTAATAATATATAGGCTAACAACTATACTTAAAAAATGAATATAAACAGAAATATTCTCTGCAAGCAAATAAGAAGTATATATTGTTCATGTGTGAACTTTCAGATGGCATTGAATTTACTTCACATGCCAAAAGAAAGGGCAATTATTTTGAAATTTACTAAATGTAAAAATACAACCTGATCAAAATATTGACACCTGAAAAAATTCTTTTAGTCATCATGCTCATCACGAGCACCTGAATGCTGGTGATTAATCCTCATAAACATACTGGGGTATCTTTTTCATTCATTTCCTTCCTGGACAAGAACACATACTGACTACTGTAAGTGTAACCAATGTTATGCCATATGGATTGGAATATTTAAAAGTCAGAAAGAATATCTTGGTTTATTTCACAATGCCCTAGTCTTACTCCTATATTAGAATTAAAAAACCCATGTTTGCATAAATTGTAAATAAAATTTCTTCTCTGTTTTTGTATTCTTTTGACACTTCATAGGCTTGGGAATCTACTAATCAATGTTATTTCTTAATTTTGCACTAATGTGAAATAGAAACTTAAGTAAAAGATATAAACATATGGTACATTACCGAGTCAGGCAAGTGTCCGTAAATGACTAAATCTCTTATAATTCCGGCTGTTCAGCGCAGCCTCCGCACAACAATCGATTCCAAACCGTAATTAGGTCGTACGTAAAGTTGAGGAGATGTACCTTTAAATGCAAACCATTTTGTGCTTCAAATAAAGTTTACTCACATGTATCGTAGAGAATAATGTACATGTTATGACAAAAAGAACAAAGATCCATACATTCCCTTGTATAATATGATTTCAAATGTTTTCTACGAAATAACATAGTCCGCCTTATTGTCTTACTTTTTTTTACTTTCACTTTCACCAAAACAATATCAAAATTTCAAATTCTTTGAACTGATGAACGCTACTTTGAAAAACGGAAATTGTATACCCTTTGTTGGATGTAAGTTGTCTGATAAGAACAGTTTAAATTTATTTTATTACAAAAGCGTGACAACGCTTCAATGATAGCTCTGCGCTTTTTTTGAAAGAAAAACCACGTTGGGTGTAACAGGTCCAGTACAATCAGTACATTTAGCTACGTAGGTAGAATTACCTACGTAGCTTTATTTACCTACCTCACTTGATTTAAAATTGAATTTATTTCTATAAAAAAGCATTTTTCTCAGGATGTGCAAAAACTATCATTTTGATGCAGTGATCATTTTCAACTTTGAACTCATCTGAAAACAATTCATGAAAAATTCCCTCTTGAAGAAATGTCTTTTTCTGCGCAATTGCAATCAAAGTTCTGAAAGTTTTGGGGCTATGTATGACAGTTAGAACAGTTACTCCTTGAATGAAATGACAAAGAAGTCCAGTTCTGGTTAACATGATAATAGGTCGGTAATTATACAGCACAATGTGAAGTAATCATACTCAGTCATGCCTCACCGCACCTCACGGCATGGACAGATAACCAAACAATGGAATTACATGTTTTGCTCTAAATTGACCAAACACAGCGATGTTTAAACTATCTCTGCTTTGGAATGTTTTTTAAAGTCTCCCTAGTATAAATATCAAAAGTCATTTAATTGCGATTTTTTGTCTCTTTTCCATAAAAAGAAAAGTTACATTGAGATAGCTAAATCAAGCTACCTGAGGTAGGTAAATAAAGCTACGTAGGTAATTCTACCTACGTAGCTAAATGTACCGATTGTACTGGACCTGTGTAAGTGTATGGACAGATCAACTTTTAAATTATTTGAATATTACACAGTTCGGTTCAACTCCAATATAAGGATAAAGTAGAACTTTGACTGAAACAATATTAACATATTCATACAATACTGTATATTGTAGTAATGTTATGGAGTTAATTATTTCTACATTCCACACATGGATTTACTGTCGACCAGGGAATGTTGACGGTTGACAGTTGACACTGTCATCATGCTCATTCATAAGTTATGAGTTCATAAGTTTTTATTTTTTATTTTTCCTTGAATGTAAGTGAAAATGTGTCACACTGTCTACTCAGCCTTATGATCAATAAATTTTATTGTTCCAGTAGGGACATATAAAATCAGAGGAAAAGAAGATGTTTACAGGACACTGAAAGTAGCATTACAAGCAGGATACAGATTAATAGGTCGGTCGGTTTACAAGGAGTTTGTTTCCAATGACCATGATAGATTTGTTAAATCTGACAAAGAAATGATAGAATTCTAAAAAAAAAAAAATTGAAAGCCATGAAAATAGATTTTTTTTTTACATTTAATACTGTAAGTCATTTTAAATCCATGGTGTAAAAATGTCATGATTTCCCAAAAATTTACCAATCACAATGGTTTTAATTTCACGCTGCAAGAAATTAATTTTAATTTGGTGTAAGCATTTAAGCGTTTTTAACATGTGTTTAATAGTTAATGTTATTATACTTCTGTTAAAATGTTTCCTATATAAAGTTAATTTTAATTTGGTGTAAGCATTTTTTCAAATTTTTGCGTTTTTAACATGTGTTTAATAGTTAATGATATATTATACATCATACTGTAAAATGAGAATATTTGGCACACTACTAATTTTAGCGCCTTTGGCGCAAGAGCCCCTGATTGCTAAAAGGAATTCTAAATATTATTTTGTTTTGTATGTTCAAAGCTTTCACATAAGTACATGTAAACTGGAATGTCGGAGGGCCGTTGGATCTTATATACACACTAGCAGTGTTAACATAGTAAGATCAATTCGAGAAAGTTCTGCCAAATCATAATTTATTTAATTAAACTATTGTTAGTTGTTACCGGATACTTATCATTAGCACCTTCAAAGTTTGGCTTCTTGGTGTGTCAATCATCTATCGCCTCGAGGTAAACAATGCAATCAAGCATGGCGATTGAGCTTGCAGACAATACCTGATTATGATTATCCAAGTAACTTTCCTTTGATGCATGCATTGTTTTAATATGAATAAAATGCGTGAATGTTCTTTTTTTCTTTTATCTAAAATAAAATTAAACATTGTGCCATGTCTATGTGATTGCAACACCATGGTAAAGTTGACGATTGTTTACTTATATACGGGCCGGGAGTGCTATTGTGTTTCTATGCTTGACTAACCAAGAAGTCAAATACGGGCGTGGATTAAAAACATAATATCACATTTATATATTTTAATGACAAGTGCAAACGCTAAAATTTATTTGCGCTAATGCATTCCCAATTGCGTTTATGCTAAAATACGTATGTGCCAAATTTTCTCGTTTTACAGTACACAATGGGTTTAATTTCGCGGAAAAATGATGAGTCGCAAACATAGTGAAATAAAAAAATTGTGATTATTTGCCAATCTACAGTAAAACTTTCTTACGAGAACTTTTTAGATCTAATACAATTTAACTTATAGAAATTTAAACTAATAAGGTTTTAAAATAAAAACTTAGGGGCATATATGTACAAATACAGTAATCATTATCTTTCAGACACAGCTGCAGTTTACAGAAATGAAACAGAGATTGGTCAGAGCCTTGATGAACTGTTACCAGTAAATCAGCTGAAGAGATCAGACATTTTTATCACCAGCAAACTTGGTAATAAATGTAATATCCTAGTAGTAGTCTAAGTTAGCACTTAATCTTTATTTATCATGCATAGCTACATCATGGTGTATACCTATTTTTTCTTCAAACTTTACAAATTCAGGAAATATGTAATGGAGTACTTGATCTTTCTAATACTTTAACAAAAAAAAATTTCTTGACATCAATAAACCAAATACATACAAATTAATGTTTTTATTTTCCAGGGCCCAAGGACCAGGGAGAGGGGAACTGTTATTCTGCCTGTCTGAAATCTCTGTCTAACCTTGGCTGTCAGTATCTTGACCTTTACCTCATTCACTGGCCAGGAACCCAGGGGAAGAAGCCAGATGACCCTGGTCAGTATGAGCTACGCCTGGGCAGCTGGAGGGATCTGATCAAGTTACAAAGGGAGGGTAAGACAATGTAAAGTGGGGGGGGGGGGCAGAAACAATGCTGGTAAAATAGAAAATAAGAAGAGCTGACTTTTCTTGGGTATTAAATAATTGTTAGTACCAGGTATTGAAAATATCCTTTTAAAGCAATAATCATTAAATATTTTGCCTAAGATTTATGACTCATTCAGTTTTTTTATTTCATGATTGAAGAATGTTTTATTTTGTTTATGTAGGTAAATTGAAAAACATTGGAATTTCCAATTTCCTCAAGCATCACATACAAGAACTCTATGACAAAACAGGGGTCTACCCAGATGTTCTTCAGGTATGAAAACTGAATCAATCATTTCTCTCTTTTCGTTTTCTTATATTAGATCAATTTATTCTGACTGATAAATCTGGGGGTATATCTGTTTATTCTCTGAGTTTTGTCAGTAGAATTAAAGTGATCCAAAAGCTTGTAATTTCTTCTATAAAAAGATACATGGTGTATTTCTTCTTATAACTTATGTAATTGAAACAATATCAATACACATCATTCTGTACATCTATCTAAAAGTTGATTAGTGATGCTAAAGTTTTGTTCAGATTTTAAAATCATGTTTTTTGCTGCACAGTGTTGCCCTGGCAACTAAGTTAATGTACAATATAGTCTATGAAATTCTTTAAAAATACTCTTCCACCTAAAGATGGCACAGATATATAGCAAATCAAGAATCAAGTGTATCATTCCTTGTATAAATTTCCATGGTTACTATTAAAAAATAGAGAGCTGTGTTCCTATAATTCAAAAAAAGGAAAGAATGATAAATTGGAAAACTAAATGTGCACACTTTTTCTAAGTTCAAACCAATGTTGGGAAGAACAAATCACTGCATACATAATGTTTTTTTTTAATTTCAACAGACAGAGCACCATCCACATCTGGTTCAGACTGATTTGATCCAGTTCTGTAAGGAGACCGGTATCTTCTACCAGGCTTACTCCTCATTAGGAACAACCACACAGGACAACCAGGTAGGTGTACAATCTGGTTCTGTCATTAGGAACAACCACACAGGGCAACCAGTTGGTATACAATCTGGTTATGTCATTAGGAACAACCACACAGGACAACCAGTTGGTATACAATCTGGTTATGTCATTAGGAACAACCACACAGGGCAACCAGTTGGTATACAATCTGGTTATGTCATTAGGAACAACCACACAGGGCAACCAGTTGGTATACAATCTGGTTATGTCATTAGGAACAACCACACAGGACAACCAGGTAGGTAAACAATCTGGTTCTGTCATTAGGAACAACCACACAGGACAACCAGGTTAGTGTACAATTTGGTTCTATCATTAGGAACAACCACACAGAACAACCAGGCTGGTGTACAATTTGGTTCTATCATTAGGAACAACCACACAGGACAACCAGGCTGGTGTACAATTTGGTTCTATCATTAGGAACACACAGAACACACAGGACAACCACACAGGACAACCAGGTTGGTGTACAATTTGGTTCTATCATTAGGGACAACCACATAGGACAACCAGGAAGGTATGCATTAAACAAGAAATTTAACCAGGAAAGCAGGAATCAAGGGTTTGGATTAACAAGGCTCAATGTTTATTCTTTATAAAGAATTTGTTATAATGCAGAACCAATGCTACTTGTAGATTTTGGCACTAGTTCCTTATTGGTCAATTTTTATTTTTGAAGAGATTGACACAGTATATTTTTGTAATTTTTAAATACCAACAATAATAAATGAAGAAAAAATTATAGATTTTAACAGACCCAGTTGTCTTGGAAGTGAGTAGAAAACTTCAGAAGAGTGTGTCTCAGATATTACTGAGGTGGGCAGTCCAAGAAGGAATTGGTAGGTAGTTAAGCTCCATTAACAAGCTTAAGATTTTGTTTACTCAATTTAAAACCCTTTATAAAGGATTTCATCAGCAATCCATTTCTACAGTAATATATTAATTGTTTTAATTCATCTCTAACCAGTATAGTTCACAAAAACTAATATAAATGTACAGATATCAAGTTTGATATGACCTCACTGTTGTTTTTCAGGTGTACTTCCAAAGTCGTGTAACCCAAAGCATATTCAGGAAAATATAGACATTTTTTCTTTTCAAATTCCAGAGGAAGATATGAAATTGTTAAATTCACTGAATAGAGATAAACATTATTGTTGGAATCCAAAAGATATTGTTTGAATGATTGCATGAATAAAATAATATACACTCCTAAATGTATTCAAGTTTGTTCGAATCATAACCCAGTAGATGGGGTTGGGCTACAATGGACAGTCAAATTTCCTTTTAGAAGGATCTTGAAAAATATTTATGTTTACTAGTATATTGAAGCATCCTTAGGTAGTATAGAAATATTCAAGATTGTTCAAATTATGAATCTTGGGGTAAGGGTTCAGGGCCATAACAAAATAGCCATGATAAATCTTTTTTAAACAAGAAGCATCCACAGATAGTGTAGATTCAGGTTCGTGCAAAACATATCCTCAGGGGCGGAGTTGGTCCACAGCAGGGGATCAGGTTTATACATGAAAACATAGAGAAAATTTTTTTTTTCCTCAAGAATAGCAAAACCATAGTTATAGTCACATTAATTTAGAAGCAGGAAGGGTAAATTAGTTTTCTTTTTTAAAATCATGACCTAGGGGGTGGGATAGGTGTTGGGTCATGTTATGCAAGGGAAAAACATTCTTTAAAAATATTCCCCAATCCCCATAAGATCAGCAAAGCCATGTAGTTAATCATTAAAACAGCAATGCATCCTCAGATAGATTGTAGATTCTAATTTGATCAATTCATATTCTCCAGGGTAGAAGACTGGGCCACAATAGATGAACAAACTTTAACATTTTCAACATTTATTTCTATATTTCAGTGGAAAATTAAACAAAAGTTACCATCCCCTATAGAAACAATTCAAAATATTATCAATATCACCTCTCTCTCTCTCTCTCTCTCTCTCTCTCTCTCTCTCTCTCTCTCTGTGGCAACTAGGAGTATCTCAGGGATCTCCCTTTTACTCAGTTACAGATATTGAGAGATTTAATAGTATGACATCATTTTGCTTTTGACTGTTAAAAAAATCGGATTTGGAGAGCCTGAAGGTGATAAACGATGCTATAGAGAAATTCATCATTAGGTGTCCCTCTCCGAGTTTTCGTGCTTTTAATATTTAAAAAAAAACATGATAGCCTCTTAGCTCATTATCACTCAAACTATACAGTTGTATTTGATTGATGTGAGGGATGTAAAGGTAGAAGAGAAAAAGCAGGAGGAAAAAAGATTTAGATGACAATAACTGTGCGAGATGAGAGGGACAAACTTACTGGTTACATGTTATGTGGTTCTAGGGATTCTAGCATACACCAAAGCAGAATGTTGGGGGGATTCTAGAACCAACAGTAAAGGTAAATTCTCTGTAATTGGGAAAAAATCTAGAAACTATGTATTAAATTTTTTTTTTACTGAAATTATACCTGGAAATTTTCCTATGTCAACCTATACCTTTTTTAGTCACTTTACTTACATTGAAAGTATGGATAGAAAAAAAGTAATTTAATCTTAAATATACGAAGTTGCTATACTTATTTTAAAATTATGTAAACAATCATTTCTAAAATTGAGCATATCAATTGAGTTATACATGTAAATAGTATGAGCAATAATTGATTTGATGTGCGCATATTAATTGGTTGTATACTGTTAAACGTCCCTCTTGAAAATGTTCAACTCACATGGAGACGCCACCACCTGCCGGTGAAGAGTTAAATATGGAACGCTATCACTGCCTTATAGCATACAACTATGCATTTATTATGTCAATTTATCATTACGTGATGTGAACATATCTTTACGTTATGTCCATTTCTTATGAGATAATGTAAATATATCTTAACATCATGTCAATGCTGCATTACAAATTAGAAGATCAGTTATTCCCATTCTAATGCAATCCATGCATTTTGTTTGTTGTTTACGTCTTATTTTGAGGAATTTTGTTACATGAAATACGTCACGGAGCATTGTGTTTTTGCGTCGCTCTATTATGACGTCACAATGAAAAAGCTTTCACGCTCGTTAATGCTCGTTTTACTGCTTCAAACCTCAGTGCATTAGCCAATGAAAAAGTGTTTTACAAAACAATTGCATTAGAATATATCTTAACATCATGTCAATGCTGCATTACATGAAGTAAATACATCCTTTCATTATGTCAACACTTCATAACTTGAAGTAAAAACTTCATTATGTGAAGTGATAATGTGTTTACATTGTGTGAAAACTTTATCACGTGAAATGAATGTTTCTTTACATCATTTCATTTCTTTAATATGTGAGGTAAAAATTGCATTACGTGAAGTAAATTGTGTTTTATAATTAAACTTATTATTACATGAAGTCAAAAGCCCATTCCTTTTTGAGAGTGTATATTTCTATTATATCAAAGCATTATAACGTGATATGGATTTATCTTTATTTTACGGCGAGGGCATCATGATGTGAGGTGAACACATCTTACCTGTATGTCAGTGCTTTATTACGTGGTGTAATTAGTGTATAACATAATGTGAACATATCTTTATATTATGTCAATACTTTATCACATTATGTCAAAGCTCCTTTCCGTGATGTGGATACATAATTACGTTATGTCAACTCTTTCTTATGTGATTTAAAAATATCCTTATATTGCGTTAACTCTTTATCATGTTGATTCCTAAAGTTCATTACCTGATGTTAAAATACATTTACATTATATCAATGCATATCTAATATATAATGAATGTATGTTTTATCTGGTAGTCCTGATTGATAGGATGACATGTAACTTTATAACTTTACTATAGAAAATCTAATGATCATTGAAACTGTACAGTTTTTGCTTAAGTATTGTCCACTTAGGGTAATGTAGTATATCTGGAAAAAAAGGACTGAGTTGAATCACTCTCCCTGAAATAGGATTTTCGGACTTGGACAATTTTTTTCTTGGCTTGCCAAGTTTTTTCGGGTAAATAATTTTTTTTTTCTGGCTGACCTACTCTTTCAAAAAAAGATGCTACGTCACTGGAATCAGTATTTTTTAAACCATTCCAGGGCCAGAATTCTATTACAAAAAATCTACCAGTCGCACATCTAAATCAATTGAAATGCCTTGGTAAGCATGCATGGGCACATATCAGTGGCGGATATGGTAATCTTGAACAAGGAAGGGGGGCGGTATATGGCTGGAGACCAAGGGCGAAAAGCGGAGAAGCTCTCAGGCTTTATAGTTTTATAGAATAAAGTTTTCAACTTAATTCAGCTAAACTTAATGTGAAACTAATGCAATGTCCTGCAAAGTTTAAGACTTTTATAAAAAATAACCAATTCAAAATAAAAAGAAAAACAATTGCTACACGACTCATAATATTTGATTTATTTAATTATCAGATTAAAATAAACACCATTGAATTTCGAAGTGACTTGAATTCATAGTCGCAGTGTAAAGACCTTGCACGTTTCAAGATTGTCAACCATTTGTCGCTTAAAGTTTTCATTTAAAGATGCCATTCCCAAATCGCTCAGAATTTCTTCTACGACAGTTTTCTCTCCCCCATTTTTAGTGCTTGCGGAACGCGGAAAATACGTTATGCTCATATAAAGGCCGAGGATACCCGTGTTCGCATAACGTAATAGTGAATCGACATAATGTAGAAGAGTGCGCACAGTATGACATGAGCTTTTCGCATCAGTTAATAAAAAATAAGATGTCATGAAAAGTAAACATAACGAAATGCAAGTTGACAAAATATAATTGTAGTATGTGTAAATGTCATAAAGAGTTGACATAATGTAAAGGAAAGTTAACACAATGCAATAGTAGTGTGGGTAAATGTCACTAAGAGTTGACATAATGTAAAGGAAAGTTAACACAATGCAATAGTAGTGTGGGTTAATGCCATAAAGAGTTGAAATAATGTAATGGAAGGTTGACACAATGCAATAGTAGTGTAGGTTAATGTCATAAAGAGTTGACATAATGTAATGGAAGGTTGACACAATGCAATGGTTGTGTTCTGCTATAAGGCAGTGACGGCGTTCCATAAGTTACAAATTTTGTCCAACATGTATACTCGGCACTTAGCGCCATTGAGCAGGGAAGGATCTTTTTCATGCCAGCACTTACTGCGACACGGGACCTCGGTTTATACGGTCTCATCCGAAAGACCGTTCTTGACGTCCCACAGTGGGATTCGAACCCGCAACGTAAGGATCAACTCTTTACTTTGCGACTCTAGAACAGACGTTCTAACCACTGCGTCACGCGGGCGACTACACGTCAATCGAAGAAACGAGCAGAGAGCCACAATTTAATCAAATGCGCGCATTGCTTAAGAAATGAATTTAATTTTTGAAGATTCATGAGGTTATGAACTACGACGCTTCAAGCCGGCATATAACGCGCTTCATGATAAATATGCCGGTGTGCAGCGTTGTAGTTCATATACCTCATGAATCTTCAAAAAATTATATTCATTTCTTATATTTACATTATTTTTCTGATGACTTAACATAAATTTACGCCGTTCAACTGTCATTTTCAAAACAAAACAGTGTGCACTATATTTTTTGACGTCAAGAGCGGTATTATGATGCAACAGTGGAGATATTCATGCTTATTCGTGATACATACCTAATGTAGTTCATGAGAAAATGAACAGCATTTTTTTGTAAAGAATCATAGGGGAAATTAATTGGAAATGTAAATATTCTCAATTCAATGACAAAATATTTCTTGTCATAATCTACGCTTAGCTTAATCCAAACTTGAAATTAATGGCCCCTGTTTCAGTGTAAAATATGAAGATAATAAACAGTGATATTAATATATTCCAAGCTCTCTGATTGGTCAAATTTGATCACATGATCAATTATATAACAGCATAAAGACTTGAGTTACTATTTATAGATTCTCAAATGTATATCGACTTAATGCTTTTAAAAAGGGAAATAATTTTCTGTGAAACAACATTTGTGCTGAATTCAAAACAGCTAAGACAGAGTATGACTTGATTTTTCTAAAAAAAAAATGTACTTCAAATCTTATAATTGTGATGTTCTATAATACATGTAATTAGTAAGACATATGATGCCTTGAAGAAGAATCTACTTTTTGTCAAAACATATAATAGATATGTTTTTTCAAAAATCAATACAAAACTTAATTAGACAAATTAGCCTTTTAAAAAAGGAAATCCCTTAAATTATTCTATCGGTACAAAGAATTACACACATTACATTATTAAACAGATTTTTTTTAAATCTCTAGTCTCTCAGTGTTCAAAAAAGACAAGCGAGTGGTGATTTTGTCAATCTCTGTAAAAAAAAAAATATAACAAATGTAGCCCTTTAATTCGGTCAATCCATAGATACAGTTGTATATCAACTTCACAGAAAAGCATATCGACCTCGCACTTCGTGCTCGGTCGATTTTCTGTGAAGTCGATATATCTAAATCATCAAAGGGCTACATTTATATAATAAATTTCATAATCTAGTAAACAGATTGAATCGTGAACAGGGCAAAACATACCTGCAGAACTGTACGAGCTTGTAGCTCTCCGAAAACAAGAGGCACATGGGCCACATCGCTCACCTGAGCACTAGTTAAAAAACACAAATCAGCTCTGTATTGAAAAGTTTACTTGTTGAGGGAGGGGAGGTGAATTTTTTATTACTTTAGAATGTCACTATATCAATAAAACATACATGTATAATTTTGCCATACTTAAGAAGAAGACTTTTAAAGATTGTTCATATATATTTCCATTTAAAGATTTGATTGCCCATTATATTATGGCCCTACCTTACCCCCAGGGGTCATGATATGAACAAAGTTAAATCAACTCTAACTAGGATTAATGTTTCCTTATTAATATCACCAATCATGGCATTGCTGATCTTAAAAAGAAGATTTAAAAAAATTTTTTTCTATATATTCCTATGTAAAACTTTGATCAGCCATTGTGGCCCCGCCCTATCCCCGGGGGTCATGATTTGAACAAATTTGAATTTAAACGACCCGAGGATGATTCCACATGAGTTTCATCTTTCCTGGTCCAATGGTTCTGGAGAAGATTTCTTTAAAAAAAAATCCTTTATATTCCTTCGTAAAACTTTGATTAGCCATTGTTGCCCCGCCCTACCCTGGGGGTCATGATTTGAAAAAACTTGAATCTACACTACCTGAGGATGCTTCCACATGAGTTTCATTTTTCCTGGCCCAGTGGGTCTGGAGAAGAAGATTTAAAAAAAAATTCCTTTATATACGCTATGTAAAACTTTGATCAGCCATTGTGGCCCTGCCCTACCCTGGGGGGTCATGATTTGAGCAAACTTGAATCTACACTACCTGAGGATACTTCCATATGAGTTTTTTCATCTTTACTGGTCCAGTTCTGAAGAAGAAGATTTAAAAAAAAAATCCTATATATTTCTAGTAAAACTTTGATCAGCCATTGTGGCCCGCCCTACCCCCGGGGGTCATGATTTGAACAAACCTGAATCTACACTACCTGAGGATGCTTCAACATGAGTTTCATCTTTCCTGGTACAGTGGTTCTGGAGAAGAAGATTAATAAAATTCCCTATATATATAAGCTATGTAAAACTTTAATCAGCTTCCACATGAGTTTCATATTCCTTGTCCAATGTTTTTGGACAAGAATTAAAAAAAATATTATCAACAGTGTATTTCTAATATATTCTTTCACTGTTTTCACAAAAAAGCATTCCTGATAATTGTTGTTAATAGCCCACCCGGCTATGAAATTGAGACCATCGAAAATTTCGCATAATTATACTGCCATTTTGGTTTGCAAGATAATTCGGTCCAACGCGCTTCGTACAGATGTCAACTACAAGAGTACTTGATAGAGGGGTAGGGAGTTTTTTTTAAAATCTATTTGTTTTTTTCCAACTGAGGTAAGAATTTGGAAAAAATGATCCAAAACCCGGCGCACTTTTTTGGTGTGCAATAGATATACAGATTTTTCAATGGGTGGCACTGTAACTCTCCGGTCTGTCAATATATATATAATTATATACTGGGCGTATTTTTCGGAGAGCTACAGTTCTGCAGCTACATTTCGGACAGCTGGCAAGTTAATACAAATTTCCGAAAGTCGACATATAATTACATGTAATTGACAATGAAGTGAACAGATGACAGAAGTATGCCAACACAACAAACAGCTTTTCATTTTGATTTATAATGCTTGAGCTCTAAATGCTGTTTTCCAGGACACTGTATCATGACGAGACCTGTACAGTTACACTTACCCCGGGGGTCGTCCTATAAACAGGGCTGCATCACATGTAGATGTAATCTGAGGGGAACACTATTTTGTTGCAAGTAAGTAATGCATTTTTAATTTGATTTATTTTAATTTGAGGCAAGAATAAAATAAAAAGAGGCCCAGGGGCCATATCGCTCACCTGAAGCAACTGGCTAGGTAAAAGCAAAAATCAGTTCAGTATTGAAACGTTTAAATATACATGTTAAGTCGGTTCAGGGGAAAGGCGGGGGAAATTTGAACAAACTTAAATCTATACTTCCTATGGATGCTTTTAAATTAATATGATGCTTAATGGCTTTACAGTTTGTAATATGAAAATAGAGGGAGACTCTTCCGCATCACCAGAAAAGCTGGCTCACTAGCGAGGCAGTATAAGTTCCCTATATACTGTCCGCTACAATGATTAGCAAACAAACAAAATAAGAAAGGAATCAAACACAATAAAATCAATACAGTAATCAAACCTAAAACCCATTTTTGTAGTTGCAGACTGAGTGGTATAACGAACAATTCTGTTGTTTCCCGACACAGTCTGCAATTACCCAAAAACACACACTAAAAGTGCAAACCTATTACAATATCCCTGTAGCTGCAGACTAAGTGGTTTAACTAACAGGTATGTTGTTTCCCGACACAGTCTGCAACTATCTAAAACACACCCTAAAAATCACGAAGTAACAGATACATCTTGAGACACACAAACACAAGCTAAAGTCACCAAGACACCATAGCTATGAACAGGACACTACCCTAATGTAGATTTTCCGCAACTTCCATGGAATTCCAAAGCAAATTTCATGGAATTCCATGGAATTTTTGTTCCGCAGAATTCTTAGGAATTCTCTGGAGTATTGGGACGGAACTTTTTCGGAGTGGTACTGAAATTCAAATCTAGCCTAGAAAAGAGCGGAACAATGCCAGAACAGAAATTTGTGGAGGAAATCCATGGAATTCCAGATTATTTGTAAATCTAAAGAATTCCATGGAAATCCGTGGAATTCCAGGAATTCAAAATACAATGAAAACTGTATTAGTTTTAAATAATTACAAAGAAACTTGAAAACATCACAATATTTCAAACATCAAATCTATATTTGCAAAATAAAAAATTCACTGTTTCTTTTACAACGTGTTTTGAGACAAATATTGCATATACCTCTCAGATGTACAATATAAGCACACTTTTTCAATGTTTTCTCACTGAAAGTATTTAACATCAAAGAATTTTAACAAAAATATCCAGAGAAATATATGATCGTTACTGGAGGATTGCCATGGGTAAATTATGTTATGATATACATGTACATGATGTAGTAAACTAATGTCTGCATTTTTTTTAAAAGAAAGAGGTTAGTGTCATTAAATGCCATTGGCCAAGGATTGGAGAGGTAATTGAAACCTCAACAGTGTATACATTTACAATGAACTGCCAGTGGCTCATGTACATTTACTTTATAAAGTTAGTTACTAGAGTGACAAACACATACTTATTAAATGCAAAAAAATGTACTACACAACTATTTTGATACAAAGATCCCATAAAATCAACAGCTGCTATTTTCCCAAACGTACGTGCCAAAGATTCCAATTATGGAAGATCCAAAACTTCTGACGTGTTGATAGAATCACTTCCTCACTGATATATCCCATGAAATTTGCAATAGAGGGTTGACAGATAATTGGTGTCGCAAACGGATTCACTTTTGGTACAAAGGCTCCGTAAGGTCGATGTTGATCATTCCAACAGACACTTCAAACTTTCGATCCTTACACGATTTCTGAAAGAAAAGATGACCATCATTATTGAAATCCATATAAATATACAAAAAATAATAAAATAAAGCTCTACAAAATTATTGGTTCTTTCGACCTGGCAGATCAGTTTACCGTAGATTATGAATTCATTATCTTGCAACTTTTTGTTCAAATTAGGAAGTTTATAGACATAAACACCAGTCACTGATCAAAAAATTCACTTAGGCCTTAAAATGGCTCAGCTGAGTTAAAATGAAAAGGTTACAGCTCAAGCTCAATGCCTGACTAACATTGAAAATAATTAAGAAATCTGACCTGTTTTTTTTTTCATACAGCTCTTGTCCTTCTTTTGAGCATCCTGATTCCTGTAAAATGCATGTATACTACATAGAAGAATTCAAGATGATAGCTATTTGATCTTCAATAATTATGCATACCTGTGCATTAAGCATGTTTAGATTACCTGTCAGAATTCATCGTTATAAATTATTAGGATATTAAGGAAATTAAGCGTGGTAAAAATTTACCTTAAATTTTGTTTACTTGTCATAGTTGCAAATTAAAAAAAAAAAATAAATCTTATACTTAAAGACATGAATTAATAAAATCAAAGTTAGTTTATTTGTTTTGAATGATAATTTGAGCTGGTTCTCACCATATTCACATGCCGTACATGTAAGTGATTGGCTAAACATCTACATGTATGTCTATCAAAACGCCAGAGCTCAGCTGTGGGAATCATCTCAGGCACTGCAGCAACTATTAAAACAATCAAAATAAGAGCTGAAAATGATCATGAACATGCATTACAAAATATATGATTAATTACATGTACATCATACTCTGTAAATGTTATCTTGAACAAAGGAACGTACAGGTAAAATTCTTTACATCAGTTCGATTCCAAACGAGGAAATTCGGGTTAAAATCCATGATCTAAACGATATGTTTAGAGTTGTTAAATAATTATTACAAAATTGAAATAGTGCTTGTCCTTACGATTTCACAGTCGGGCATTTTAGTTTGGCCCCCAGACTAATGAACAGTAGCAGAAGCATTCTTCATTCAGGGACGCATAAAATACTGTACATTATTTTACCTACCGGGTCTTAAAATGTCATTCCATTCCATTCCATCAAATTCCATCCCAAGCTAATTATGATTCCCCTGTTCGTGACACTCTCTTTCCAACTTTTCTTCTGTGCAACATCAAGATGATCAACATGGCATTGCCGCATTGCCGCATTAGATAGCAGAAGGATAAAACGTACGCTGAACTAGGACCTGCATGAGGTCCCCTGCTCAGTTCACGACTATCGGGCCTGTTTACTCCGCTACAAAATGTAGTGCGTTGCATACGTAAAGTGAAAATAGAATAAATTGTAATACTGTGAAGCCTTTAAAGTGTAAAACAAACAACTTTTTAAAAGGAATAACCATCTGATGGGTATTAGAAAAGATAGAGGGGGTGGAGGGTGGGTGCTGAGCAACATTAACTGCAATTTTATGCGATATATGATATATAAGCGTTTAACATTTATGGATTACGTTAGGTGACCTGTGGTCTCCCCTATGATTTTATTCCATGTAACGTTATATTACACATCAGTAGGGGACAACAGTAAGGTGACCAGAGAACAAGTAATATTGTATATCAGTAGGGGGACCAGAGGTCACCTTATATTGTACATCAGTAGGGGGACATCAATAGGGAGAGCAAAGGTCACCTTATATAGTACATAAGTAGGGGGACCAGAGGTCACCTTAAACTGTACATCAGTAGGGGAACAAGAGGACACCTTAATGTACATCAGTAGGGGGACCAGAGGACACCTTATTTGTACATCAGTAGGAGGACCAGAGGACACCTAATATTGTACATCAGTAAGTGGACCAGTGTGTCACCTTATATAATACATCATTAGGGTGACCAGAAGTCACCTTATACTGTACATCAGAAGGGTACATCAGTTGGGGGACCAGCGGTCATCTTATACTCTACATCAGTAGGGGAACCAGAGGTCACCTTATACTGTACATCAGTAGGGGGACTAGAGGGCATTTTGAATTCTACATATGTAGGGGGACCAGAAGACACCTTATATTGTACATAAGTAGGGGACAACAGAAAGGGGGCCAGAGAACACCTTATATTCTACATCAGTAGGGGGACCAGAGGTCACCTTTAATTCTACATATGTAGGGGGACCAGAGGTCACCTTAAATTGTACGTCAGTGGGGGGACCAGAGGTCACCTTATACTGTACATCAGTAGGGGGCATCAGTAGGAGAGCAGAGGTCACCTTATATTGTACATAAGAAGGGGGACCAGAGGTCACCTTAAATTGTACATCAATAGGGGGACCAGGAGTCACTTTATATTATACATCATTTGGGGGACCAGAGGCAACCTTATATTGTACATCAGCTGTAGTAGGGGAACCAGAAGTCACCTTATATTGTACATCAGTAGGGGGACCAGAGGTCACCTTATACTGTACATCAATAGTGGACATCATTAGGAGAGCAGAGGTCACCTTTAATTCAACATATGTAGAGGAAACAAAGGTCACCTTAAACTGTACATCAGTTGGGGTACCAGAGGTAACCTTATATTGTATATCATTAGGGGGACCAGGAGTCACATTATATTGTACATCAGTTGGGGGACCAGAGGTCACCTTATATTGTACATGAGTAGGGGGACTAGGAGTCACCTTTTATTGTACATCAGTAGGGGGACCAGAGGTCACCTTATACAATACATCAGTATTGGACATCAGTAGGAGAGCAGAGGTCACATATAATTCTACATATGTAGGGGGACCAGAGGTCACCTTATACTGTACATCAGTTGGGGGACTAGAGGTAACCTTATATTGTATATCAGTGGGGGGACCCGGAGTCACCTTATATTGTACATCAGTTGGGAGACCAGAGGCAACCTTATATTGTACATCAGTAGGGGGACCAGGAGTCACCTTATATTGCACATCAGTAGGGGGAACAGAGGTCACCTTATACTGTACATCAGTAGTGAACATCAGTAGAAGAGCAGAAGTTACCTTTAATTCTACATTTGTAGGTGGACCAGAGGTCACCTTATACTGTACATCAGTAGGGGGACTAGAGGGCATTTTGAATTCTACATATGTAGGGGGACCAGAAGACACCTTATATTGTACATAAGTAGGGGACAACAGAAAGGGGGCCAGAGAACACCTTATATTCTACATCAGTAGGGGGACCAGAGGTCACCTTTAATTCTACATATGTAGGGGGACCAGAGGTCACCTTAAAT